TAGTTTTGTTTTGATCATGATCGGTCCTCGTCAAACGTCGCCAGCATCACCAGCCAGCTTGATTATTTTTCACTCCATTTCTACTTCCTCCCACCTGCACTCACTCTCGCAGAAAAATCTAAACGAATGCACACTCACTGGCACTCATGCTCTCACTTTTGATGGAATCTTTTGCCTCCTCTCGCTCGCTCTCTTGCTCTGTCTCCCTCAAAGGGAGGGGTGGGTGGCAACGAAACTGCGAACGGAAACCTTTCAATGACGCCAACAAGACAAACTTATTTTCACTAAATTTTACCTATTTTTCGGACTTTTCCTCCTGGATTCACTATTATTCTGATAAATCTGTCCTCCTTTCGAACTTTAACACTATTTTCCCAGGGAATCTTCTCTCTTTAGTCACTCTTTTTGGCGAATTAGGACGCTTGGCGCCCGCGACATCAAAAACACTTCATATTCCATTTAGAGCGATTCCTTCTCAGACAAATTCGGATTCTACATGTACAGTGTGCATTTAAGTTGAGTTTTTCACAGTTTTCATTTGGAAATTCACATTTTTAACACGATTTTTGAACAAAATCATACGCGTCCTCGGCGCAACACCCGACCGAAAACACTCGACTTTTTCTTCTTCAATCCAGTCTTCAGCTTCACTCGCCTTTCTCTCACGAATGGCCAAGAGAAGCAAGATGGCGGATTGAAGTTTTTCTTTCTTGAGTTCGACCGTTTGTTGTTGGATGTTGCCTGACTCTCTTTTCCATTGCTTTCGCTCAGATGCGGTTCGCGATGAGTGATCAATTGGCGTTGACGGCGACTATGTAGCTCTTTACTCCTATGAGAAAATCCATAAGCAAACGTCAGACTGTGCGTGAAACATCGCGGACTTCGTACTATCCTTTCACTCCATCGAAAATTCCAATAAGAAACTGTCTACATTTGCTGGAAGAGCAAATTTTTCGACAGTGCCGTCAACGCCAATGTTCTGTCACTAAAGTATACGCTCGCACAAATTTACTCTAAAGTGAGTAAAATTCCACTCAGTTTCGTTAAAAACTACGAGGAACACGCTAAGATAAGATTCCCAAAAATTAGGTTTTAATTTTACCTAAAATTAGGTTTTGATACTAATACCACAGACAAACAGACATAACACTCGCAAAATGTTCATCGAACAAGCATTTAACGGTCAATTTAAAAGTATCGTAATTGGTAGTACCACCACCTGTGGCGCGCATAGTCACCACCTGTGGCGCGTTTACACACTACCGCCATCTGTTCAGCGTACTACCCACCACAGTGTACTCTACAGATGGCGGTAATGTTTTAGCGACGATGTTTTACAGTGAGAAATATTCAATGTGTTATGTCTGTTTGTCTGTGCTAATACCACATCAGAGAACAGACATGGAGGCTCGAACAAAATTTCTCTAAAAACTTGTGTAAAGATTCCTATTCGACTTAAGCGCCACTAACGGCGACTTCAACAAAAAAATTATCGATACTAGCGCCAAATTGGTCGAAAGTGGAAAATTTATAGAGAAACCCTAATAAAAAATAACCACACTGAGCCAATATGACATATTCCTGTTATGTGGAAGTCTAATAAATTTGCGCTATAAGATAATCCAATGAAAATTATATGATTGAAAATGTGTCAGGTAAATTCTATATGAATATCTGATACATTTACAATGCTGATAATTTGGTAACTTTTATATGATCGTCATATGATAAATGAAAATCGGTCAAATTATAATAATTAACTGAAATGGATTTGAAACCCATAAGCATAAGCTTTACTTTTCACCACAACATAATATATGTGTCATAAATCAATCGAAGTAAAGTTTATGTGAAAATCACATGAAATTTACTTCTTCTTTTGACACATATATTTAAACGATTTCTAAAAATAAATCGAAAAATAAACATCACGCAGTGGGGAGCTTTCACAGCTGTGTCTTTTTTTATTGTAGCTGATTTGGGATTCGATCAAGAACTGTTGAAGTGTGATGCTTCCGGTGTTTGCGCTCGATTCCACTGGGACACGGCTGACTTCAAGATTGAGCTCGTTCAATTAGCATGAAGTAAGAACAGCTCTCCCGACATGGAATGTAGTGCAACGTAATGCTCGTTTTGCTAGAGTGAAGAAAAATAGCACTGACAAATTTATGCTCCGTTTCGGTGGTGTCGTGTATTCAAATCTTGCTTAATGCTCCTGTGTGCAATAAAACAACGACTACATTATATGAGTTCATGGAACTGGTTCATGGAGTTCGAGTACTAGTGCTGAAATCTGAATTAGCCGTGTAGAAGGCTTACAATTAGAATTTTAGCAAAGTAAATATTGCAGTAGAATCATGCCCATTTTTTCAATCTCAATACATTCTTTTCCGGAACCCCTTATCTTATGGAACAATGACAAACAAAGATTATTCAATACAGTATCATTTTTGCTAGCAATATTTAGTTCGACTAATCATTTTAATGAGTGTATGATAACATCGTTGAAAATTGTTTCAATAATTCACAAAGAACAATCATGTAAGATGTTTTTTTTATTGGGAGCGATATTCATCCCGGAAAGCCATGCCAAAACCTCGGCCAAAACAAATGTTTGCTGTTGGATTTCTTAAAAGGCACATCTATATGACTATATAATGATTGGGATAGATCTGTTTACAATCTTTAAACCTCAAAAATCAAAGGAAGCTATTTCAATTAGATATACATGTTTTCCTATACTGCAAAGTTAAATGACAGTCCAATAGTTTCTACATGTCTGTTTGCACGTGACATATCAACAAACGTCAAAAATCGTTAAAAGCAACTCCAATAAAATATACATGATTATCTTATAAGATATATTTTTTAGTGAGCAATATTCATCATGAAAACAGGTATACTGAATTTTCTCATAGTGCAAACTTATATGATTTTCCATTAGTTTCTAGATGTCTGTTCCTACCCATGACATATCAACAGTTTTTCACCATGAAATATATCAGACAATATTCATATACATCTTACCTATCGCTAACACTGTTCGAAGCAAAGTTTTATCAAGTACTAAGTATGTGAAATTACGATATAAATCATTCCATATCGCAGTCATAGTTTTTAAGTGATAATCCGATGGAATCTATCAATCATCACATAGAATGGATAAATCTGCTGACATTGCTATGTTATAAGATGGACCCAATAAACGATACATGTCGATTTGTTTCAGTGCATAAACGAACGACAACCCAAATAATAGAACTATTCCACAAATGGTTTGGATGATACCCAGAACACGTCGTTAAGCAAAATAACCATAACAATTTTATTAGGGAAATCAGGAGATGCTAACACCACGTAACGGCGACGTTCCCACTTATTTTACACAAGTTTCTGACCGAACTTCAACGTCTGTTCTCTGTGTTATAGCGCTATCTTGATGGTGCTTTCTATGTTGCAATTATTTGACAACCGTTATAACATGTTATAACTCTCCAGTCTGGCCGTACGTTCAACTACAGAGTTATAACATGTTATAGGGCTATCTTGATGGTGGTTTCTGTGTTGCAATTATTTGACAACCGTTATAACATGTTATAACCCTAATAAACGTGTACCATATACTGACGATATCTTAGATGGTGCGACCATACCACATAAAATTGGGATGATATCCCGAATTGGTGGTTAGGCGCCTCTTATGGTTATTGTTTATGCGGGAACTCTCCAGTCTGGACAGCGTTTGAACGTAATAGTACGTTCAGACTACAGAGTTATAACATGTTATAGCGCTATCTTGATTGTTGTTTCTGTGTTGCAATTATTTGACAACCGTTATAACATGTTATAACTCTCCAGTCTGTACAGCGTTTAAGTTCGTTCAGACTACAGAGTTATAACATGTTGTAGCGCTATCTTGATGGTGGTTTCTGTGTTGCAATTATTTGACAACCGTTATAACATGTTATAACTCTCCAGTCTGAACAAGGCATAAGCGTGAAGAGGAGACAACAACTATACGGTATTTCAAAACTACCCAAATTTGAGTACAATCCACCCAGATCGGTCAAAACCAGGCTAATGACAAGACCTATACTAACAGCCAGAGGTGGCAACAGTACATTTTTTGAAAAACCATCGTCCAGAGCGAAACATGAGCAAAACTGATATTGTAATGTTGAAAATGCTTGAATTTAAATTGAAAATATTTATATTATAGATTTAAAACGGCACATGTTATTTCAACTATACCAAACTTTCATGACAAAAGTTTGATTCGATACAAAAATTATCCACTTTTAATTATAACGACATGATAATATCATGCTTTTCAATTGACAGAACTACAATTTGTTTTGAAAGTTTCAACTTTTAAAAGTAGCATGCGCGCAACTTTTGAATTTACAGTTAGCTGACTTTTGTTTTGAAAGCTAAAGACTTTCTACCAAAAAGAACCAACGAAAACATTTAATTCTACCAATGGTTTTTTCAGTTTTACTAACGATAATTTTTTGTGTGTACGCGCCTGCCACTGATGGGCTGGTCGAAACTGAACCTACACTGAAATAAATTATGTAGTAAATTGATCTTAAATCCAGCGTTTATTTCTACCATGCCATATAATGGTAAAATCCACTGACCATACTGTTATTATAATCGTATTATATTAGAAAATCTTAAGCCAATAGCAAAAATGTCACAGTAGATTTCAGCATTTTTTGTAGTCCTCACAAATAAATTATTATGGTCAAATTTCTATTGATATGGTAACTTCAACAACATTATTTAAACATAGTGGATGCACAATTTTCATCCAACATCTCATTTTACCATACACGCAGTTAAAATAAAAACATGTCACCGACAATTTTTTACCAACTACATTTTATGTAAGGATTACCATCTGCATAGTAATTTTCAGTGTACATCGAAAACTTGCACTTCGCCATTTTGATAGCATCAAATTTATTCCGAAGAGCTCCGCGCGTGGTTGAGATTTTTTTCAGTTTTGCTTGTTTTTGTGGAAAATTAAAAGTGTTTCATAATGATAAATGATAATCCGATCGAGGAAATAAGTATTATCGTGGATGACAGACTGGATGACCCAAACAATATTGACGGTAAAGCGTTAATCTAAAACGTTTCCGATTGGGATATCCGCGATGCTTTTTTTTTTCTTTGCAGAAAGAGATCACATTCCGGAACTGGAAGAAATCATTTCTGAATGGAAACTTGATCCGGCCATTTATGCTATCCTTGTCCGTAAGTATGAGTACACAGCAAAAAAAAATGTAATATCGATCAACGTAATTCAAGCTGATGTATGAAATAATGATGTAATAGCAAAAAGCAGATACAATATTACATCAATGGGTGTAATTTTGTTCGCAAAATCGATGTACATCGTACAATGTAATATTACCCAATCGATGGATTGACCTGGTTGCAGCAGTTTCGATGTAATATTCAACAACTTTTTTTGCTGTGTATGTGTGAACAAATAATACTATATTGAATGTGCAAAATCTTAATTTAGAGCATGGAATTTGTGTCCAATATCTCAAGCTAGTGGAAGACAGAGCCTTGGATGATATTTTTTCCGTAGCGAGATGGACTGGCCACAAATATGCACTGCGGCAAAAATTAGTTTCGTGGCCGGAAAGTGTTCTATATCATACAGCAACAACATCGAAAACCATCAATTCTATTCCGACCGAAGTTACAGCTCCTCCAGCTACGGTGCTATGCAAACAGAATCCACTCAAGCATCGATTGCTTCCCACCTCCGTGACAGCTGCGTTACTGGATGACATCCTCAAGCGGAACGAAAAAGGAAAAATTGTCGTGAAACATTTTTTACAGAATAAGAAACTCGATGCTGCTCACCGGAAATACTTGGCCCATACGGTCGTCGACTATTATATAGCCAACGACTTATATTTTCCTCTTCCGGATATGTCAAAATTTGCTCAACTAATTGCGGAAAGATTTCCAAACGAGCTAATCGTAAATTAACTTCGTTGCTCCAACCATTTCAACACACTTCTTATACGTTTTTTCATCTTTCGTGCAGGAAACGTACTTTAATCCCAGAGACGTGAAGGTACATAAGAAACACCCTACTGGTTTAATTTATGACCGCTTCCACAATCGTAACAAGAAGAAGTTCGTCCAATCCAGATCATCAAGTGACAAGGAAACAACGTTTTTTTATGCACAATCGGTAGCTCTAAAACTTTCTCACGATGGTAAGTAAACCATATTTCTCGACAAGCAAGTGAAAAGGGCCAAGGAGCCACATGTAGACATCCGCTTCAAATGCCGATTTCCCATTTCACATGTTTGTTTCGGGTTTAAAAGATTTTAGTGATATCAGCAAAATCTTAAACACTTGATATTTTAAATTACAGAAATCGAAAAGCTTACTTCAGTAAAAAACTGGCTTCGTAACAATTCTGCCCCAGCAGAAGAAGTTCAACACAAGTGGAAAGAAACAATTTCATTGCGACTGCGATCAATTTTAAATGAGATTGATGTCGACAAAGGTGGTGTGCTTAGCGAGTGGCCAAGAATCCTGGACGATACTGGGTACTTGTTGGTAAGGAAAATTATACTGCACCAGTTTTAAATTACATTATTTTGTTACCTGTCTCATAACAAATAGGTCTTGTATTCGCGAGATAGTATACCTCGTCTTATTATATGTCTACAGATCGATTCGGATTTTGCTGAACTGTTTGGTAATCCAGATAAGTTATTCAACAACTGGGATTTTTTTTCACAAAAATTCCTTGACTACGTTCGAAACAACGACATCAAAGACGATTTTTCAAGACAATTACTAACTGCACTGGACGAATCCGCTATTATTCAAGGTATGAAGTAACTTAGCAACGTACATAGGACGAAAATAACTAATAATATTGTTTCATTATAGACGGCCGGGATTTCATCGTATGTATGGTATTCCAAGCACTCATCAAACCAACACGGACTTCTACACGTAAATTACCCACAATATTGCAGGCGCAAACTGATGTCTGTTGTATATGCGCAACCCACGAGGAATACTTAAGTGAGTGGCGTTCACTACGTCAAGAGTTTGAGACAGCAAAACTTCAACTCCCACCTCGTATCTTCATTGTTGGAAGTTTCGACGAAATTGAAGGATTCTACGTTGTGACAGGAAAAATTGAGTACAAACTTCCAACGTTTCTTCGTTGCCTGGATGTCATTGTTAAGCTGAAGTACGTGCTGAACTACCAATTTCCTGAGAGCTGTGAGTTATTCTGGTGCTTCGTGACCAGATTCTTTTACAATATCGACTACAAAAGAAAATCGAAAAACAATCAACTTCTACAATTGATCGCCTATCTGGAAACTGGAGATAATGGATTGTCATTTGTGCCGTAACTCGTTTCCCGCACTCAATATCCTATTACACCACATTCGGATAGAGCATGGGGCTCCTTCCATTTCTAATTTCAAGTGTACAGCATGCAAACCAGCCGCTCAGTTCAAGGATATCTACCGGTTCAAACGGCATGTCAAATTTCGACATTCTGCCTTATTTGAAAGCCCCAGCACACCAATTGAAACACACGAGGAAATCCATAACAACGAATCCAGCACGATTCCAGAGGAACGTTGTTTTCAAAGAGAAACAACTGAAGATACATTCAATGATGCGGGTAGCAGTATCGAAAAACTTGAGAAAGCTAGTTGTAGAGAAGAAGACATTTTAGATATAAGAAGTAGGTTAAGAGAAGATTTTCTAAGCTTTACTATGATATATTCATAGTATTCAAATACAGTAAGAAAAATTTGAGCAGGAAAGATGTAATTGAATTACAGCATAATATTACTGAACATATTGTTATGCCAATCATTAACACTCTATGCAAAATAGCATGTATACCCGATGATCCACAGTATCTAGATTTAGTCAACGACATCCGTGATCCATTTAATTTCATATGCACTGAGCAAAGATTCAATAGTCAGCTTCAACATTTGAATCTTAGACAGGCTCCTCAAGTTATAACTTTTAAGGACAATGACTCCAATATTGTATCGAAAGGGTGTCTTACACCTATCAAATTTCAAATCAAAACGTTTTTTGAAACTGGAACAATTTTTAAGGAAACAATGCAGAATATGACCAGATTAGAACAGAACGATGAGATATCAAATGTTATTAATGGCACCCTGTGGCAAACAGTAAAACCAATGTACGCCAATCAAATAGTTATTCCATATTTTTTTTATTTTCTGATGAAGCAGAAATGAACGACGCAATTGGTGCTCATTCAGGAACACACAAAGTATGTGGACTTTACTACAGTTTTCCGACTATTCCTTCTCATTATCTGTCACGTTTGAGTTGCATATTCATCGCAGGATTTATAAAAGCGTCCGACATTCTAGAACGAGGACCATCAGAGGCTTTGGTTGAACTAATTAATGTTTTAATTGATCTTGAACAAAATGGCGTGGATTTGAACGTAGAAAATCGTGTAGTAAGAGTCTATTTTGTGCTGATGGGAATTCTGGGAGATAATTTAGGAATCAACATGTTGATGGGATACGTAACGTCATTCAGTGCCCTTTTCTACTGCCGATTTTGCCAGCCTAAATAAGTACGATTGTCAGAAATCCATCAAATTAAACTCAAATTTGAATCGAACAAAGGAAACGTATGAAAAAGATTTAACTAAAAGTTGTAAAGATACGGGAATTAAAGAAGCATGTGGTTTTAATAGATTACAGAACTACCATGCTGGAGAGTTTGCTATAGTTGATGTGATGCATGATTTTTATTCTCATGGTATCTGCGCCTACGACCTTTTCCTTTGTTTTTGATTATATGATTCTAACGCTAAAAATTTCTTTGGATTTAATTAATTATCGTTTAAAAATGTTCAATTACGGGAACACTGAGAAACGAAATACTTTTAAGGCTATTACTAAACATCAACTAAAATCATCATCATTTAAAATTACTGCTAGAGAAATGATGCTCCTTGTTCGCTATTTCCCTTTAATATTTGGAGATTTAGTTCCACAAAATGATAGAGTCTGGAATTTTATGTTGTCATTAGTAGAATTGGCTGATATGGTTACATTTCCAAGCTATGATTTTGAGATGTTGGATGTATTAGCAGAGCAAATTAAATATCACCATACACTATATCAGAAGCTATTTAACACGACCTTGAAACCAAAATATCATATACTATTACATTACATCGAAGTAATCAAGAAAGTAGGACCTCCTAGATATACTTGGAGTTTTCGGTTCGAGGCTATGCATCAGTTATTCAAACAGTACTGTCGAAACATAACATCACGCCGAAATATATGCTTGACTTTATGTATTAAAGCTAATCTCTTCTTCATGCAGAATATGAAAAACTGGTCTGAACAACACATTTCATTTAAGAACGCTATACGTTTGAATGTTTCGGAATTGCCATACTACACTTCAATAAAATCACCAGTAAACTTGCCATCTACTTTTTTCCATGCCCGTAGAGAAATATCGTACAAAGGCACAGAATACAAAATTGGTCATTTTGTTACAAAATCTGAAAATAACGTGCGAAGTGTCAAATTATTTGAAATTAAAGACTTGCTTGCTTACAACAATCAGTTATTTATAGCATGCCAGACATGGGAAGTAGGAGACTATTCGTACCATTTTGCATCGTTTGAAATTTTTGATAGCGTCCCAGAATTTCAGATTCTGATTGTGGATCAATTTGATGGACCACCGATACATGTATATAATGTAGGATTAAGAAAGTTCATTAGACTGAAGAAACTTTTTGTATAAATACGCAAATAAACAAAAACATGACGTTTTAATTCACCAAAAATAGAATGGAAGAAACCATGGTAAAAAAAACGTAGTCAGCATGGTACAAACACAATACAATATGGTTAGTACTACTATTAACCAAAGAAACAGATGATTACATGTATTCTCAGTGGGAAAATATTGATAGTGGAAAGTACTATTGCATTTGCCCTTCTGAATGGTTAAAAATACTGCACGGTAAAATATATGGTTAAAACTACTACGCCATACAATTTTTTGCAAAATGGTACAATTTACTATGCTCGTGGTCAATGTAAGCAATTTATATTATCAGAAAAAAAACATAGGTGCCTTGCGCTTAATTTAACCCCTCCATATGGTAATTAATACTAGAGTCGGTGTATAATGAGTCACGCCAAGAGTGAAGCCAAGTCTACCTATTGAACTGTCAAACCGGCTACCTATCGTGCAAAGTAAATAAACATTACGATGCTATGAAAGGTCCACGAAAGGTATTGCAATAAAATATAAAATATAATCGAAGAAATGAGCATAAACACGCAGTGAGCGTTAAATTGTCATGGGATACGCTCGGTAATGATTAGTAATGAGAATTTCTACTATTTTTTGTTAAGATAATTGGACAAAATCACTGATATAATGATTTACTACCGTCGCAATATTTTTTCTCTCGCTAGAAGTCATTTGAAGTTGATGTAGAAGTCCTCTGTTGCCAAGTGAAAAGAAAGGGAATCCTTCGAAAACCGTGATGTGAGTTCAACTGTTTTTCTCTTGGCGTGACTCATTATACACCGACTCTAATTAATACCACACATTTTCTTTTAGTGTACCCAAAAATGGGTAAACTGTGCTGAGGAAGACTGGGACTACCCATTAAACGAGTAAAAATATTACCCATTTATGAGTATTTGTTATTCAAAAATGAATACTTACTATTTGTTTTTGTAGTTAAATTACTCATAAATGGGTAACATTTTACTCATTTAATGGGTAGTCCCAGTTTCCCTCGAAAATGCTTACTTTCCCGCCGAGTTTCCCGCATAAACGCGAACCATAAATTGACCTTACCGAAAATGGTTAAAAATTGTTTATAATCCCTGCTAAACTTCAACTGAAATGGTTATGGAACTTTACATGAACGTTTAATGATAAAGTTTTAACCTTATGTATTATGGTTTTTTGGAAGCGGACCTTACAAATAATGAGTTGTTAAAAACCATTACCATTCAAAATTTTTGTTTTCTCCATATATTTTCGGGAGGAGGACTATATTAGAACCTTTAAACTTATGGTTTGAGAACATTATGGTAGTCAGTAAGGTCCATGAATTGTTTTGTAACATCGATCAACTTTATGTGGAATATATCGCGAATTGGTTGCCTGTAAATTACTGATTACCAATTCACGATATATTCCACGTAAAGTGGAGCGATAATACAAAACCATTAATGGACCTTACTGACTATCATAACCATAACCATTAATGTTCTCAAACCATAAGTAAAAACGTTCAAATATAGTTCTCTTTTCGAAAATGTATGGAGAAAACAAGAATTTTGAATGGTAATGGTTCTTAACAACCCATTATTTGTGAGGTCCGCTTTCAAAAAACAATAATGCATAAGGTTAAAACTTTATCCGTTTGTGTGATTCATGTAAAGTTCCATAACCATTTCAGTTAAAGTTTAGGAGGGATTATAAACAATTTATAATTATTATCGGTAAGGTCAAGTTATGGTTCGCGTTTATGCGGGTTGTAGTCATTATTGGGTATTTTGCGGTTACCGTGTGGGTAGATAGACAGAAGAATGATGACGATTTTGAAGATTTCCTGCAAAAAGATGATGTGCGATGCAAGTAGATGCGAGAAATGAAAGAAGATTTGTCAAATAATGTAAATATTTACAACGATTGCATCGAAGAATTTGAATCGGCCGTTATAAATTTTCGAGTAAAACTTGAGTTTTAGTTTAATGTCGGTTTGTCAGTGTAATTACGTCGTAGAAACAGTTCGGTTGCTCATTAATTAGCTAACAGATACCCATTGATAAGTAAAATTTTTACTCATTTAATGATTTAAGCCACTTTTCTTCAAAATGGGTATTTTTACGCATTTATGGAAACTTTCAAGTTAGCGTGCATGCGGTTTTTGTTTTTCATTTTTTTTCTGCGCGTCGTTCGCCTCTGACGTTTTGGCATTGATGAGAGCTCTGTAACTCTTTACTCCTATGGAGAAATCTCATATGTAACTGTCAGTCTATGTGTGAAACATGGCGGACTTTGTCTTACTCTCTCACTCCAACGCAAAACCCCATAAGGTACTGTCAAAATGTGTGCGAAGAAACGTCACTTCGGGACTGGTGTCAAGGCGAATAGTCACTGACTCTTGCGGAGGATTCTCGGAAATATTGCGAGTGGTCGGTGAACGAGGTAAAAAATCCGAGGACATCCATCAAAGAAAGGTAACTGTGTAATAAATCAACTGATCATAAAGCCTGACAAGGTCATTGTGTTTTACACCAGGAGCTCTGAAACAGGATTTGAAAGACATCATGCAAACTAACTGGAGATTGCGGAGACAATCTCTCATCTTCAACGAAGGGCTGCGGCTGCTGATGGAATGTAAGGTGCCTGATTTCAGCTCCCAACAGGATCCGGATGATCGGGCCCAGATGCAGCGAAGATGGTCCGAGGGATTGTTAGATGTGCTTCCCCAGTTCTTAAACTTTATCGAACGGCACCGGAAAACGCTGTTCTACGAGGAATGTGGCCCGGTAACTTGGGAATTTCGAAAGTACTTCCTGTTGGTTTATTTTGAACAGATCAGTCTGACATACGAATACGGTTGGTTCCAAATGAATGGTGAGGACGACGATGGTATCGAATATCGCTTGTCAAAATTCTGCATGTCAGTAGATAACATCCTCACTAGAGATGCAAACTCGGGCATCCGGTGCTGGTTGTTCCACTATTACGGAAGTGTGTTGGGAATGGAGGGGTGGCAGCATCGAGCGGGAGAGGTCTACAGTTTCGTTCGATTATTCCACTTTTTGGTGGAGTACGATCGGGTGATGGACGTGCAATTCGCTCCGAGGGTACTATCTTTCGTGGAAATGTTTGGAAAACAGCTGCTGACCTGTCGGCAAGTCACGGATTATCAGATGATGGGCCTTATGTTGATGAACACGCTCATGAAACATACGTGCAAGAATCATAGGTATTTTAGGCACGATAATGAGGTGATATTGGAATTGGTTCTACCCTTGATTTGGAAAGAAACAGCTTCCAACACATCAGCGAAGAATTTGTGGAATGTTATCTATTATTCTGCCAGATCAATGTGTGATAAAAATCCTTCGCTGGACGATGAAATCATGCGCACTTTGCTGGCCCTTCTGAATGAAAACGAAGATGACATAGATCAGTCGCACGTTCATCTGAGAACAGTGACACGACTGCTGCTGTTGGACGCACCGGAAATTATGGTACAAGGACCCGAAGTATTCACCGTTTTCGGCCGCAGATTCGAGCAGAAAGAGTTTCGCTCGTACGTGAGGAACCGTCTGCAAGGCTACGCCGAGGCAAGGAATTACCGATATTCGTTCCACTGGAGATTGCGAATCGGACAGATTATTCCGAAGCTAATTACACGGTTTGCTATTTTTTCTACTAGATGTTATTTTTCGCGCTACTATCTGCAAGAGCTGAACCTACTGGTGTGGGTGGTAATGTTCCCCATCGGGCAAACCTGGCAGCGTCAACGAGCCCAAGGAACAATGTTGAATTGTTTGCTAAGCAAAATTGAGACAACTACACGTTCTGTATGGGAAAGCTTAGAACAAAGCCCCATACAGGATATGGCACTGCTGCAGGAATGGCATCTTCAGCATAATGTACGTCAACAGTTGCTGTTATGCTGTTCGAAAAAAAAAAAACCTAACCAATTCTTTCCAACGTTGCAGGTCCTAGTGGCTCTGTCAGGCACCATCGCCGACGCCTTTTTGGAGCTGGTACAAAATCTACGGCGGGACTCGGAGCAGGTCCAATCGTTGATCCGCAGTGTGTTAATGCAAATGATGGGAGCACACTACATGCTGGAAAATCTGAACAGAACGCTGGAGCGTTTGATCAACGCGGCGAAAAAAATACGGAGAGCTGGAAATATGGTAGCCAATGAATGAAGATACCGCGTGCGAACCTCGGGATGGGCGGTGTCTTTCGGCGCGGACATATCGATAATATAGACTCAGGAGCGTCTACAATGAGCTAGCAAATCTGCGCTTTCGAACAAGTTAATGCTTTTGAAAAGATAAAAATCAGAATATTTTGGAATATCGCCTATTTAGATAAATACTATTGTTAAAATAGTGCCAGTTATGCTTCTGATATGTACCTATATTTACTGAAAGGTTGCAAAAATCGCCTTAAATCAACAAATATAATAAAAGACTGCCAGATAGAAAAGAAAAAACAATCGAAGAACGATTGAATGTTGATGTACAAGAAAGAATGGAGCAGGATGATATGCGAAGGTTTTATGCAACTCTCTTGCCATGTGAAATGACGATAGTGAGGGGAATCTGCCAGCTGAATGTTTTGGTCCTGATGTATTCCACCGTTATCTACCTACAATATATTGGTGGGCGTTGACCAGATTTGGGTTTTTCAGATATAATCCTAAATAGGATTATAGTTCGTGCTCTGTCACAATGTTTCATTGTGATTAATCAACACTCAAAGGGGTAAAATATCAAATTTGGGGTGAATTTGAAAGAAAGGGAACTTGAAGTGTAGAGCGCACTGCCTACTGGACGATTCTGAAGCCTGGCCAAGTGAGTGGGATGTGGGTTAATTTGATTGAACGTCATTTCCAATTTATATATTGATACATTCGAACCAGTGGTATTTGAGATAGGATGCGGAGGGTCCGCTTAAGGGGTGCGTAACCCATGTTATAATTTCCATTTATTAAATAGGTCAGATAGGCTAGAAATTACCGGTTCATAGTGAGGGAATGTACCATATGGTGCCCGTTCACTGATCAAAATCAGATTCACATTGTCAGACCCAGCCCAAGAATAAGGGGATTGACGATGGTTTGTTAAGTTTTATTTTGCATTTGCATATAATTGTAATTTTAAGTTTGCTTTTGTAATGATAAGATAAATAGTTTACCTCAATTGAAACATTGAGCTGTTTAAACTTGACGAATAATACATCTAACTTAGTAGTAGTTACAATGTCGCATGATCTAACAACCACTGCCTGCAACTAATGCTGGAGGGGCCAGCAAGGCTGATTACCGATCAAAATATCAAAACTATGTGTGTCTAGAATATCGCATGAGCTGACGAGTGCAACGGGAAGGACAGTAGGTGCATAGAGGTAACTCTTCTTCTTCTTCTTCTTCTGTGTGAGCTGTGTGAGTTTGACAACTCAAAAAGGAGGGCTGAGTGACGAAGACTATATTGCCCTATGCATCTTTTTATGTCGCATGGACAGCTTTTGGGCAGTCGACTGCTTTACGTTTTGTGCATTTCACATTTATGAATATCAAATTTATAAATCTAATTTACATTCTTTTAAGAACATCACTACCTCTTTGAATGTATCAATGTCCTTTGATTGGAACAGTTCAAGCAAAGTTTTAAATTTACACTCGAAAGTATATTTTGATCTGATGTGTCCAAATCTACAACATAACAAAATAACATGCTCTGCCGTTTCGGGTTCTTGGCAAATTTCGCAATCCGGGTCATCCACGAGTTTCATTTTGGCGAGCCAATACTTTGAATAGTCATGGCCTGACAGCAACCTATTCAACAGTCTCACTTCAGTATTACTCAAACTTCTATCATAAAACCAAGGAATTTTCTCAAATTGATTCTGAAATCCGAAAAATTTGAGACCCTTGCTTTGAATTTCTGCATAATCACGATACCACAGGTTTACATTTTCCAATAGTTTGTTCTTTAAAATCAGAAAAGCATCTTTGATAAATAGTACGTTGGACATGACCACCGGTCCGTTAATAGCGTGTTTTGCTAGTGCATCTGCAATTTCATTGCCATTAATATTTACATGGCTAGGAATCCACTGAATGGTAACCGACCAACGTGAAGCCTTACGGATCATCTCATTTAAAAATTTATTGTTTTGAGAACTATTAGATGCCGCATTTAAAATTTGGCATGATGATCTAGAGTCAGTGTAAATAACTGCATTTTCTATTTGATTGTCACAAATATTATTTAAGGCTATATCAATTGCAATGACTTCCGCTGTCGTTATGCACGTTTCATTTTCTAAACGAATTGATTGTCTTGATCTGAGATAATCGTTAAAAATACCTATTCCACATACATTACCACATTTTGATGCGTCCGTAAAAATTCGAGGTCTAAATTTATATTTACCATTCATTAGACACAATACTGCTTGTTTTAGCTGAATTGGATTTGTATTAGATTTGTTGCTTACTAAACATTTTATATCACTTTCAATTTTTAAATTATTTGGTTTCTCAAGCAACTTTTCTAGCGGCGATATATTGTCAATTACAAGCTTATATTTAAAATATATACTTTCTAAGTATGACCACTTGTCCTGAGAAATTGTATTCAAGTCTGTAGATTTAAGTTGTTCAGAAACAATATTATTTGTGAAAAAGTAACGACCAATTTCTTTTGCTGTACAAAACTGATGTCTTAATTCAACTGGTTCTTGTCCCGCTATTGCCATAAGTGTATTTAAAGGAGTTGAACGTGTGCAGCCTGTAACTTTCCTCAACGCAATATTATTAACTGTTTGTAAAATTTGTTTGTTCGTTTTTTTAGAATTATTATAAATTGAAGAACCATACTCAACTGCACTTCTAATAAGAGATTGATAAACATTTATTAAAGTTTGAGGATGACTACCAGTTTTTATACCACTAATTACCTTAATCATATTCAATCTATCAGAAATTTTACTTTTTATTTGTTTTATATGAGCTCCAAAACTAAGAAATTTATCTAAAGTTATTCCTAAATACATATGATGATTAACTGTTTCTATTAATTGGTTGTTAAGTTTCACGTTAAGAATATTGTTGCTATTTTGGAAAATGATTGCTTTTGTTTTCTCATGATTTATTGTAAATTTTAACTTTCCCATTTCTATACTCAAATTATTCATAAATGACTGTGCTTTGTGATTCAAATGCTCCAAATTTTTAGCTTTGATAATTACACCAAAGTCGTCAGCAAATTGGACTAAAACTACATCTCCATTTGACAGTTCATGCAATTGTGCAGTATAAATGTTAAACAGAGTTGGCGACATTACATCACCCTGGGGAAGACCGTTCGAAACAAATCTTTCAATAACGCGATTTTCAGTTTTAAATATTATTTTCCTATTTTTAAGAAAATTTGTTATCCAATTAACTATCTCAAAAGGAGTTGAATATTTTAAAAGAATTTGTTCCAGAATATCTGTATTAATTTTGTTGAAAGCGTTCGATAGATCTAAAAAAATTATTGCTGTCAAAAATCCATCTCTTTTATTATGTAATACTGAATTGATTACAAAATTTAAACAAGCTATTGTAGAATTATGTTTACGAAAGCCAAAAGAAGTTGCTGGAATAATGTTGTTATTATCCAAAAATAAATGTAGTTTATCTAAAACTGCACAATTTGTTACTTTTGTTAAAGTGGGAACAAGAGAAATTGGTCTCTTGCCATCGATGTTAGATTGAACTTTCCCATGTTTCGGTATAGCGACAATTTTAATAGTTTTTAGCGATAACGGTAAGAAACAATTCCTCCAATTGTTGTTTATTTCTTTAACAATTGCGATTTTGGAATCATCTGATAACACACTCAACATATCATATGAAATTTTGTCTTCCCCAGGAGATGAAGTTTTATTTTTACTTTCAACTATTTTATTGAACTTTTGAAGATTCAATAAGTTATAATTAACGCTGCCATAATGGCCTTCCAAAGCTGTGAAATCATTTATTCCAAAATGCTTATCTAAAAATTGGTTCGCTAGATTTTCATCTTCCATTAAAATATTGTTACTTATCTGTTTTCTGTGTTTACCTGTCAGCTTGTTAATTTTATTCCAAAGTTGTGATGAATTTGATGATGGATCTATACTATCAACAAACTCACGAAAATTATTGATTTTTTCCTCTCTTTTAATTTTATCAAAAATTGCTTGTGCTCTTTTAAACTTAATTAAATTTTCTAAAGATGATTGTTTATTGAATTCTGCTCTATTTTTCTTTTTATTTTTCCAGGCTTCTTCTACTTTACATGACCACCAAAATTTTGGGGTATATTTATTTTTAATTCTACATTGTTTGAAAATTTTTTCAATTTTCATTTGAAACTCATTAATGTCTGTTAAATTTGATAAATCTAACTTACTAATTTCATCTTTAATTTTCTTATAATTAAAAACATATTTTTCTCTCTTATACTGGTTCTGAATAGTGTAAGATATTTCAATAGCTACATGATTACTTCCAATGTTATAATCTAACGTTTTCCATACAACATCGTTGTAGAGAACAGGTGAGCAAAGTGAAACATCTATAGCAGTAGATTTTTTATTGAGCTCTACCGGAAAATATGTTTTAGAGCCATCATTTAGAATAATCACATTATATTCATCTACCTTTTCCATTAAAATGTTCCCCCTAAAATCATTAAAATCATTTCCCCATGTAAAATGATGCCCATTAAAATCGCCGCCAATAATAACTTTTTTATATTTTTTGACAGATTCGAATATTTTTGTTAAATCTTCCTCCAATTCCTGACGTATTATCGAAGGGGCCACGTAAACGGAAATGATGGCCAAGTCCAAGCGTACTACTTCAACTCCAACAACCTGTGTAGCTCTATTTAACTGAGGAAAAGCAATTTCTAAGTATGCCCAATCTTGTTTTAAGTATATTCCAACTCCCCCATAGTTATCTTCTCTTGAATTAAAAAACCTGTGATACCGTGATATGTTATACTTATTTGTAGATTCTAATTCTGAATTTGTCCACGTCTCAGATAGCAAAGCTGCTGAATAGCCACCGCCGAGCAATGACCTTTGAAGCTCTTCTTTATTTTTAGCTAAACTTTGAATGTTTACTTGTATCAATTTGAACGCATCCATTTTAGAAAAACAATAAATAAAATTAGAAAATAGTATTACTTAGCTTGAAATGTTGTTTTGTTAACTCTTTTATGACTTTTTGCCACTCCTGAGGTAGATCTTTCTTCTGCACTAAGTCCGAATAGAAATTCATTAATGCTCCGTGCATGTTTCGCTCCGCAATCTCGATGGCATTCTTGTTGGCTTGTGCTGTGAAGCTGTCCCATCGCTCTTTGTCGGTTGCTGCTTGTCTATTATTAAGCCCTGTTCCAGTTATTGGCGACATATCAATCCTGTGCTCATT